ATTTGGCATCAATGTGTTTAGCGGCATCCTATTTTAATCTCTCATTATGCGGGTGTAATATTTCAAAAATGACCAGAGATAATAGCATAACATATAATCGATCATACAGAATGTGCCGACTAAAAGCTGTTACTTGCCGTTGTGCGCTGCGATGATTCTGTGCTGACTAAGATATTCTTTTATTCTGCCTGAACCTTGTCAGGGCGGACGGACAGAGGGTAGTGAGCCCTATCGTATGATGATGCAGTCTGGATAGGAAGTCGTACTACCCATCCTGGTGAGAGCGTGAGGACAGCAAAGTGGTTTATTCAGGCGACCAGCATTTCCATATTTGTGGAGGCAGCGATGCTGCCTTCCCGGGAGAAAAGGTGGGTTAGAAAAGGTCAGCCTTAAGAATCGCGCACTCCGACCACCCAGCGGTCGACCGTCACCGTATTAACTAATACAGTCGAACTTCTCGTAAAAGCCGAGAGCCCGGTCGGACTCAGAACGCACCTGCGGTGCAAATCAGCATTGAAACTGACACACCCGTTCTTTAGTCTCTGCGTCTAGAGGTTAGGCCAGTGCTTCACGGACCTTTGGGTCATTAGCTTCCAACAGATTTCTTCGAGAAAATTCTACCGCTCTCTAAATTGCTAGACAATCCACAATGTTGAAGATTCCGGGCGAACTGTATCCAATTACATAAGATCCGCGGCCCGGATAAGCGTAAACGAACTGATCCTTAGAGCTGCGATTAAAGACGAAGGCAAGTGGTTTGCGGAAACTAGAAAATCAGGATTCTGCCAGTAAGGTGAATAACAACAGACCGGAACGGTGGACCATATTCGTTGTCACAGGACTCAACCAGTATAGTGTCGACGTTGGCGTTGGACAACACAAAACTAGCAAACCAGAGGAAATTTTGAAGCTGGATGCGGGTGTGGCTACCTTTGGATGCCAGTCTCAAGGAACAGTCAACAAGAACATAGAGTTAGATTTGCAGTATTCAGAATCTCACTTCAAGAATTGTCGGTGAACCAAAGCGGACCAATCCAAAAGTGAAGGTAATTCGCATTCAGCTCCCGAGAGGGAGGTGAGTTCAGTGCTTCCCTTTGGTGTGGACTCACCGGAATAATTACGCCAGAACACGAGGACGACCGTTCAAACGAGAGCGATGTGACCATGAACAAAATACTTATCCCGCAAAACCCTAAAACTACAACTGAAATAGTACATCCTAAGTGGTCCCGGCACATATGATCGGATGATACTGTTCGGAGAGAGTGTGAAAAAATCAGCGTCATTTTTTAATGTAATACTAGTGCTCAGTTTAACGCCATCGGATTTGGGCCGGTTGATCGCTGGCAGCAGACACCTGGGAATTTTCCCGCTGATATCACTTACTTCCAGTTGACGCTGGATTCACAGGCTCACCCAGAATAGTACAGGTGGGCGCACAAAAAATATTTAGAGCCGATTCATTTCGCTCTCTCCCTGTAAGCACCTCATCTTCTGAGAAAAGCATCGTACCTCATATCCGTTTCCAACTTTTCGATTAGTTTTGTTCTGGTGCTTCCATCGAGTTGCATGACAGCTACGAGCTAAACTGTTGCTCCACTGGGACGGCTTGAGTTGATTTATGATAACCACGTGTCAGGCGTACTCAGCCACCGTCTGTGCAGGGGTGTGCTTAAAAGATTGCCCTCAGTGTGGTGCAGCCAGATATTGTTCGAAGCAGCGGCGGATAATTCATGTGGATGAGGCGCATTTGCGTAGTCCCTCATGCACCCTCAAGCTGAAGACGTTGCCAGCTAGGAGTGTCAACCGAACACAGTAACGATACTGAGGCCTGTTTCTATCCCGCTTATCTGTAGAGAGTTAAGACATTCTTGGTATGATTTCTGGTAGTTGGACCTAATCAACTTGGTTGTATCTCAGTTTTGGTGTGCCCCTCGGGTGAGGTAGTAGCAAGGAGGTAGCAGTAGCAAATCAGAACGATATTTTAAAACTACATGTGACTGTGCCGTAGTGAAGCACAATTTTGACACTGATATTTCTGATGCTGCTACTGCACTTTTCGAGGGGGGGCACAAAGCCCTACCTGTGTTTTGTGCATAAAATGTGGATGCAGAGATCATGGGCAACCTAAACAAGTATAGATTAACATGCGAGATGGTTCAAGTGGTTAGAGCGCGAATTCACTGACAGGAAGGTCCATGGTTCGAACCCGACCTCTGCCTCTCGACTTCCCCTGTCTAGGTTTGCGTGACCTGGCAGTATCCCAGCCCTCGTGCTTCCTTCTGGTGGCGTGGCAGTTGGGCACCAAAAGGGTGCTACAGCTGAACGACTTTTACTGACTTTAGAAAGCCGCGAAAGAATATAGGACTCCTTCGCTTATTCCAATCTGCCAGTCAGCTTGCTGAAAATTTTCCAGAGTGCAATGAGGCACTTTAACTTGAAACAGTCCCGCTAATCTCGGTGAGTTGATTCAAGATAAAGAGAGTGACATGCAAACTCAATTTCGGCAAATCAAATGCATTTGAAAAACAGTAGTTTGCGGATCAAGTTATTCCAACACTATCCTTGTTAATTAATCATGGAAATTCATGTTCGGTAGGGGGCAGCCTCTAATTAGATCAATTAAGAAAGTTGTTTTGTGTGGAACAGGGTGAACACGGACGAGTACGACGAAACATGAGAGAGAGAGAGGACCACTCGCAACTGCTTTACTAACCTAGTCAGTTGACCAAAGATTTGGATGAGCAAGCGAGGGAAATGCCTGACAGTGCTGTGTATCTGATTCTTGTCCTGCTGTAGAGTGTTAGTCAACAACGAGCTTGAAACACGTGCTCACAGGGGACACCACATACATGTTTCCTCACCATGTCGGCAAAGCGTACGCGTATGCATGGCGTATGCACATTGAAATCGTCAACTGCCACCAACAAACACCCAATTCGCTATGGTGGGCAGGAAGTGTCCAAAATCATGGCTTTTTGAATTGAAACAACAACAGCAACAAACAAAAAACAACGACAACACAGAGAAGGAGGAGCAAAACAACAAAAGCATGACGATAGATAATAGTGTATAGCATTGACCAGCGTTATTTCTAGTACTGGTCCAACTGGTATTCGTGACTCACGTCATGGTCATTAGTTCTCCCCAGATAGGGCGTGCGCGTAGGGGAGGCTGACGCGCACAAAACTTCGCACTTCTGCCTGTGAGGGTACCCGGTAAAATGCGCATTACAGGAAAACAACGCCACTGGCAGAGAAACGTGGCAGCCGATGAATTGTTGTGGCATGCACAAAGAGTGAAAACAGCAACCGACCACCACCTATGTATTCTTTTGTAGTTCGGTTGCGCTTGGTACCCGCAATGTATCAGAACGCAATGTTTCTGACTGTACTTTCTTTTATGTGGCGCACAAAGGCGAGACCAGGAAGGGGAAGTAGGGTAGCTTGGGAAGGAAGGTTGTATGTTCCTTCTGAGTAGGGTCTTTTGCTTTCATAACAGACAAACGGCTGAATTATTCACATGTTCAAAGGTGGGTGAATGGTCTGTTACTGGACCACGTCAGGCGACAACTTTATCACTACCCATGAAGACGACCGGTGATTGGTCCAATTGATTTCGATGCCTAGTTCGGGCTCGGACTCTGTTTACCCATGTAAGCAGCTTCCAGAGCATTCCTAGTCTGGGATTATATCAAGTCACCCCAGTACATCGAACAACTATACATTGAACATACACTGAACATATATATATGTATATACATTGAATATACATTGAACAACTATACAGCAGCATCTCAAGCGCTTTCGATTATTTATCCGGAAACCCATTAAGTGTTGGATACACGACTTCCGTCTGTCAATGCTGTTCCGGTGCAACACTTTTATTGATGGATGGGGTGTTAGTTACTGAGCGACACTCAAATTTTATGGTCACTAACACCTGGTTGAAGTGAGTCGCTCACTGTTGGTCCATCTACAGTATGCTCTGGATGGCTTATTCCAACTCACTTGGTACAATATTTTGGTAGACCATCTGTTCACGAAAAATACTCAAAAAAGAATGAATGGCAGCTACTTCCCCAATTGTGAGCATCAAATGAGTGACCAATGAAGCAGCCTTGCCGTCAGGTCAGAAAACTGTCACGACTGATCAATGTTCAGGGATAATGAAAAGATCTACTAAGCAAGTGCTTATTGGTACTTGTACTACTCAGACGAATCAGTGATCGAGTTTTTATCTGGATTTCAGAGCACAGAGATCTGACAGAGAAGAGAAGCATCAGCACCTAATCCTGTGTTACAGAAGACAAATGAGGGAGAATGGAGAAGAATGGCTCATACATGTTATGGTATCCGGTGCCAACCGGGAAAATCCCCAAAGACGTTGGTTGAGAGAAAATCACACATTGAAACCCTAGTTGAGCAGCACATCAAGCAGAGGAGTCTGCTTCTGAGTCGAGCACATTCGAGGTATGATGCAAGAAGGAAGACCAGAAATTTACGAAGCAACGTGAGACGCCTCCCATTCTCTATTACTCACTCCACACAGAGTCGGCAAAAGAGTGACAGGTGAATCAACTCGAGCTTTTCACTAGTGATCACTCCAATAGTGACTATGCGCTTCACAAATAGAGTGCTTCGGGACAAAAATATGTTCAACTAGAATATCAGGAAAGCAGCTCCACGTAATGGACATTGGTCGATGACCTTTCACCTACCCACCTCTTTACTGGGGGACGTGGCAACTTGTTGTTAGTTCTCATCAACAGTAGAAAGTTGGCAAAATCAAAGTTTGCCGCCTAATTTTATTTTAAGCTTATGATGCTGGCAAAACGGTCAACACGGAAATTTGCGTCAGTATGAAGTGAGCAGTTAACCTTTAACTATATCGTTTTAATGGCTACGTCGGAGGGGTCCTACTTCTCTGGATTAGCCTTCAGTGCTGTTGTCAGATGCCAGAACGGTTGTATTTTCGTTTTTCACGTTCTAATTCAACAGTACGGAACCTGATACACTAGGCGAGTGGATGATGCTGACTGACGGAAGATAAGGCAAACATGGATGCCGACATTGGGGCTACTGTATGCGGTGATAACCATGATGACGGTGTATGTCTGGTTCGACATCCAAAAAAAACATCGCTCAGCTGTAGCACTCTTTCGGTGCCTAGCTGCCACGCCATCCAAAGGAAGCACGAGGGCTGCCAGGTTGCCCAAGCCTAGACAGGGGGAGTCGAGAGGTAGAGGTCGGGCTTGAACCACGGACCTTCCGGTCAGTAAATTCGCGCCCTAACCACTTAGTTCTACATCCTATCACATGAAGTGTTCTGTCAAGATTCTGAATCACTCTCGGCAACTTTGGCCCATGGAAACTATCTGCTTCCACTGATCTTTCCTACTTCTTTGTTCGGCTTACATTTGCATCTGCGAGTGCTGTGCAGAAGATGGCCTATTGAACCACGCCTTTTGTTCAATACGGTATTAAATCGGTGCTCAAATGACTCACAAGTACTTAAACCAATACAGCTTATGGTCCTTAGTAATGGACAAATGTCACCTCACTAACTGTATGATAGAACATATGATACTGAGCGTCCGAACAGAGAGAGAATGAGTATAGTGTGCAGGTCGAGACGCGGCAGCCATCCAAACGCGACTTACACACTGGAGCATCTCGGTAATGCTCCCGCTTGGTTACCGGGTCACCAGTTGTACATGGAATTCGATTGACACGCTTGAATCTGTGACGGGAATTTACATCTCTATGATTGAATTTGATTCACCACTGTTCATAGATTTGTGGTGTTACGTGTGTGGTAATGAAGTTGATGACGTCCCTGAAGGGGTTGACGAACACAGTTAGTCCTCACCGTTACATGCACACATTTGGAAGACTGAACATCCACTAGGTAAGGACGAGAGTCAAACATCGTGTTTGTCACGAAAACCGAAGATTCGAGGTCTTGTGAATTTGACTCGGAAGTGCACTTATCTAAGGGGAAAAGAAACTATACAGTGTGGCTTCTAAATACATAAGCGTCAGTTGCGGAAGAGTTGCTCCAACTGCAAGTGCTTGACATTTGCGTTTCTGTCAGAGACTTGTCATCTCAGACTACGGTTAGGTTAGGAGTAACGCGCATTCGAGTAGATCATGACGTGCCCCGATGAGTTGAAGTTATCGTACTGACAGCGTTCCTCAATATGTGACACGTTTGATTTGGTGTGCCGATGTGAGTGCGAAAACGCTACCAAAACGCACCCGCAACAAGTAGTCCGGAAGACCCACGTGATGGAATGTTCTTAACAAAACAGCCTCATCTCCAAACCTACTGTTGCAAAATGACCCAATATGTCAAAGAAACCCTTGTCCTGGCACTTCCCTGATTTACGACCGAGGCTTTAGTAAGTTGTAACCCCTTTGAACGTTATGGATGCCTCACTTGAGAAGAGACTGATGGCGATTATCAGGTGCTATATTCAATATTATGCTTGCGTGACATCAGAATGTACTGAGCTCGAAAAAAAGCCTCACAGAAAGAACTGAGAAACCTGATGAAGTTTCTGCATTCACTAAATATTGAATAAGGTTCCATTAAATTGTGGCGATCACCTGAAAAGAAGACACCAATGCAAAAGGCATTTCGGTCCCCACAGGATGGTCCTTTGGGGGGATTCTCAGTAAGCAGTGGTTGATGGGGAAGAATGCTGTAACCTCTCTCTGGAGAGTATCGTAATTCATACTTGATGACTGCCCACAAACTATGGGCGTGAAAAGTCTCAAACAAACTATGGGTGTGCCAAAGTCGCAAAGGAAGTGAGCATTGATTTTTAAAGGGGGCCGATTTGGTACCAGTTGGAGAGCTTTTCACTTTCGAGAGGTTATTATGGTCTATGGAGCCTGTGGTTTTGTGTCCATAGACACAACATTAAAGCCTGACGTGTACTGAACCTAGAGCAATAATCGTTCAGCCGTAACATCTTTTCGGTCTCTAGATGCCATGTCATCCGAAGTAAGCATGAGGGCTGGGATACCGTCGGGTTGCCAAGTCCGAACAACAGCAGTCGAGATACCTGGGTTGGTTCCAAACCACGGACCTTCCGACCAGCAAGTCTGTGCCGTACCTGTTGAACTATCTTGAGCTCGTACGGACTCTAACCTCTATCCAGTTGTTGTAATCTAAATAGACCACTTTTCGTTGATCCTTTAGAAATTTCATTTGACATTGTAGAGGTGAACTATCAGATAGGCCACCTACTGAGGCTCGATTTGATCAAATCGCAGTCAGAATGGACTAAAACTCGTCTGATTTGCACTTTGGACGCCCAATCAAGCAAGCATTCTGTTCCTCCGGCATTTTGCAAACTGGTATAGGCCGTTCATTCTCGGTTGACACGCAAGTAACTGCGAGGAAAAATTATGGTTCTTCAATCGAAAGAAGGTGGCTAGGACGATTATTCTTTCGTTTTCCCAACCGGACAGGGTTGTTACAAAAACCTCCCAACGACCAACTACCTGTTTCGCCCTTCATGGGGTTCATCAGGTAGGCGTAGTTACCGATTTTTAATTGGTCTGATTTCCTATTCGGACACCGAAGTGTGCGTAAATAGAGTTATGGACCCGTTTGCAAGTTCAGGCTGCCTAAGTAACTCGGTTTTTTGACTGAACTAGCGAGTTGGCGTACGAGTGGGTCTTGCCGAGGTGAGTCATTCTGGGGCACGAGGCAGTGGATTTGGAACATCGGACAGAGTTAACTCGATATCCACAGAGTTCCAAAGGAGTCACACTAGAATACGTATCCGTGCTGATTAGTTTTGCCCTGTGATAAGCCTGTAAAAATCTGTTAACCCGTAACTCAAAGTTGAAGGATTGTTAACCATTATTCAGCTTCAACACACTGGATAAACGTTCAAATTTTCGGGATCTCACCAGTTGAGACGAAACTCCTGTCAACACGTAGGAAATAAACCCACATACATTCGGAATTTTTGTCAAGACGGCGCGGAAAGCGTGTGCAATGATTCATATTGGCCATTCATCGAATGATGAGTGGCCACTTCCGATGGTGCCCACTACAGGGAGGTGTAGTAGTTACCACTTGTATACACATGGAAGTGAATTGTACGCTTCTGGGAATCAATAGTGAGTAATGCATCCTACGTGAAATCCTTGACGAAAATCAATGATGACTTGCAAATTTGAGTCGTGGCAGTTGGACCCCGCCAGACTGGGTTGATCATATGATTAAGTCGCTGCACGCACCTCAAACATTCACGTAACTAATCAGGAGGGACAGAAATGTCCAGCGCCTATACCTTGCAACACCAGGAGCGTCAAAGGAGGCCAATTCAGGAATCACACCAAAAACGTGGTATGTTTCATTGCATCCTGCTATTTCGTGTTACCAGCGATCAACCTTCCGTCCCATAGGGACCATTTTCTTGGAGGACTCCACTTTTTGTCTCCCGCAACGAAGACCACTTTCACCCTGCATCAAAGCTGTCCCGGTTGGACGACAAGTGTAATTATGAATGAAAAGATGATACACATTCCCCTCCAGGCTGCCTTAGTTTCGTGACTCCATTATGGACCGAGGTTTCATTCGTGTACCGGATTACGTGGAAAACTGGCAGTTGCACTGATTCAACCCTCCCCCGCTTCACTACGAATTTGAAAATGGCGGTGGACATAGAAAAGTGGTCGTATTCCATGGGAGATAGGATATCCGGTGCGACTGGATTGCACAATCACTCGGTGGCATTACACATCTTCATTGTTAGTCTTGGACATTGGTGAAAAAAGTGGCCTCCCAGAAGCTTCATTAAGTCTGAAAGTCATCTGATAGTCATCCTACAGGTACGACTGTATCCACTGTTCAAATACCAATTGGTCAGCTACAACTGACTTTTCGTGAATGGTCGACAGGGAAACTGTAGTAAAAGATGAGTGTCACCAGGCAGTTCGGGCGCGGACTCGAACTCAATGACTTGCGGATAGATCAGTTCATAATAATGTCTTCTTCAGTTGTCACAGACACAGTCAAGCCAAAACAGTAATTTTTGGGCCCTCGTATGCTTTACTCAAACGAAGTATGAAACTCAAGTAAACAGTGTGAACCCAAACTGGCAGAGCCCTATTGATTGTAAGATACCTGTCAAAACGGATGAACTTTGGGTTGGCTAAGTAACGAAAAGGTTACTTCTCACTAATAATGAGTAGCCTCACAAAAATGGGAGAGCTTTGCAAACAGGCATTTTGGTCATAGGTATTTTAGACGGCTCTAGAACTGGCACATCTCACTGCGTTACTTCAAGTTACTAGTCCCGTTTTTCCAATTCCGTACAAAAGTGATGGATAAAGCGTGTACGAACTCACCTAATCCTTTGGGAGATGTGTACAAACAGCTCTTGACGCCAGGCAGGCATGTGCGTTATTACAACGTTCGTATCATCCGGTATGTTTTGCCACTTGGAGGAAACGTCGTGTATGCTTGGTAGGACAAACCCGTTTGATGGGTTTGGTGCAGTGGAAGTGTCTGGCGAGATGGATGTTGTGTGACCATCGGGTTTCTCGGCCCGGCTGCTGATTGATGCTTGGTCTGAGGTCGGAGGGAAAGTGGAATGTTTTGTCCGCCTGGATGAGAAAAGTTTAGTCCAGTAACGTCTGGGAAAAGCACCATCTACCGATCTCAAGTCATCGGCAGCTGTCCATGAAGTACCGTAAAATTTTAAACCCAAAATCTGACACCATGCATCCTCCAGATAAATGGCCGATTTTAAAAGGGACTGAATTTTTTCTGGTGTTGGATCGTCACCTGTTGAACGCGAGCACCAATTTTCCCAACATCCAGGAACAAAGATTTTAAAATCGTGGGGCTGTTGCGCGAAAAATCTATCCAACTCCTTCACTTGCTCGCGCCAACCACCGGGAGATCGCTCATCACGTCGTGAACCTGGTAAATTAGTCCTCAAGCGGCGACACCAAGATGGAAGCCGCCAGCCACGTGATGGCGGGCTGCAGGTGAAATCCCCGGAATGAATTAAGATATGTCCTCGTGGGATGTGATCTGCGTAAACTTCGTGGGCGCCACGTGTATCAGAAATATGAACGATCCGCACTATTTTTGCGTTCGGATGACCAACTTCACCGACAACGTACACATTCAAATTCCGAAAACTGAGTAAGGCTGTCGCCAACCCAGGATCCGTGCTATAATTAGTATTGACCCGTGCCACTGCTCCCGCGTCATGGTGTCTTTCCGAGCGTGACTGGCGGTATCGTTGTGTAATCCTATCCAACAGGTGACGGGAAAAGGGCCCGCGGTTTATGTGCTTTTGGTAGCTGGTTATTGTTGACAGTGCCTTGCAATAAACGAATATTTGAAATCCACTGTGTACGCAACCGACCGTACAACACAAGAGACCAATACAACTCTGTGACCAGACTGCATGCAGAATGCAGTTGCATCACGTGAATTGGTTTCGTTCCATTGATTGGTCACGAGCTTCCATTCCACCAATCAGGTTTCCGCCACACAGCATCGTTGATTTTTCGCAGGGTCACCGTCTGTTTTCACTGCAGACCAATGGCTTTCACAGTCAGAAAAATTGCTGCGTAAACAGCCAATCAGAATTAGCCAATCATATCTGCTCTGGACGTCAGCGCTGCCTGTTGTGTCCTTCAGTGGTCCGTATTTGCAGCATACGTCTCGTACGGATGCTAACAGTGCACAGACTACAGACAAAATCTAGCCAGTAAAAATGCAATTGAACCCATGGTTCAATTGGCTCCCTTTTAGTGAATTACGTGGATTTTCAGCGGGCGGCATACGAAAGTATGACCGAGATTTTGTTTCCTGCTATAGAACTGCAATTTGTCTACGACTCATCTGAATGAAAGTCCATACTTTCCTGTATTCAGTATTCTAGGTGTTGAGTATGTTACCTGCGGGTTGCCAGGGTCGGTCTCAAATTAATCTATTCTAAAACTTCACTAAAACCACATGATCGGTTGATGAGCTTCATCATGAAAGAAAGTGATTCACACTTTACAGGAAACAGTACCACAATCCTCAATTTAAGCATTAGCATGAACACTGAAAAATAATCAAATCTACCGACCTTTTTCCGAATGTGGAAGTGACGCTCCATATCAAATGTGGTGTCACCCTAGGTAGTCGAAAGTGGACGAAAAAAACACTTCATTGTACTATGGCTATAATAAAGGGCAAAAATAGAACCTCCGACAATATGGAAGGAATTGCCATCGGAACTGGGGAAGTAATAGCTCTCTATGTTTTGTTGGGACTTCGGCATATGCATCTTCCAGTTAAATGGTACTGAGTGCGGTGGAGGTTGCCAAACGAATTAAAAGGGACGCCTGCCGCTGGTTATCACTTAAAGATGTCTGCCCAAATTCCCTCAGCACTCTTTTCGAAGATGCATGCACGATATCTCTTCCTTGACACACTAACCAAAGGATCATCTGAAATTCTGTGTGCCTCAGGTATATGGTTATGTACTTTCTTTTGTTTTTAAATCCACAGTGTAATATTCTTTCAGCTTCACACCTCTCAGAGCATCTTCCATATACTGAGCGAAGATCCTCCTGGTACCGTATATTGGGGCGAGAAAGCATCCAGCCTTATTGTTTGGTACCCAGAAGATACGTGGGTTACGTATTATTGTGGACTAGCTGGTAGTAGGAAGACACCTGTGTACAGACGAGTTCCGAAGTCGACTAAAAAACCTGCGAGGCTCCCACAAAGGTTCAGATTCGACAGCAGCTTTCTTCAGAATTACTCCGTTCATTTTTGATCATTATTGCAATCGTGAGCAGGTTTTTTCCAAAAGATCTCTTAAAATGTGAAATCCCCATAATACTAGACCCAGTTGGCTGTAAAGCAATTGTTGACAAGGCAATATTTATCATAGTTACAAGGGGGCAAATGGCTTGCTCGTCCTGACAGTTCTCTAGGTGACCTGCGCACTGTTTTAGGATGCTCAGGTTCCAAAGTTCTAAGTTGGGGGGGGGGTAGATATTTCGGGAGACCAACCACATGCAGTCTGAATAATTCTGGAATCAAAAATAGACTCCGATCACAGAGGATCGTGTCTCGCCAACTCCCGCTCCCATAATACAACCAATGAAGTATCGTGATATCAAGGACTAAATTTTTATGCAAGCCGGAGTCTGTGAAACAGATGTTGGTATGAAAATTGGATCAAAAGCCCTGCCAAAATCAATAACGACTGGATGACCGATCTTAGCCACTTCCACATATTCCTTCATGATGAGAAACAAGTTTGAAGTACACTACCAGCGTTGCAAAACCCATGTTAATTAGATGTCATAGGTCAAAAGGTTTAGACTGATACTCTGCGGTCCCAACCGCAGATGCTAGGCTAACCCGGCGATTAGTGACGGGTTCGCGTTTCATTTCTTCGCTAAACATGTGCTTCACAGCGACTTTTTTGCCTGTTTTCACAGGCTTCTTTCATGTAGCGACGCTCAAAAATTGAGGGGACTCTATGGTATTTTTATAAAATATGTATTGCGGGTGGCCGATTTTACGAGCTGTGTAGTCACGTGCTCGAGGAGTCTGATCGGATGTGCCCGTTGTTTTCACCAGATACGAAATCTGTGGGGAGTGCATCTCAATTTCTGGGGATATTAAGTAGAGTGGAACAATAACTAGAATTAAGAATCTTTGTAATGTACTACTCATAAGGTTGCTGAAAATCCGTCGACAGCCCACGACCGGTTTCGCCCTTTTTGGGGCTCATCGCGTAGGTGCAGTTTCCGGGTGTCCGTCAACGTCATGTTCTATTTGAGACAAATTGCACGAAATTAGCGAATATACACTCATTTCAAACTAATTCTTTTTTCTCGAGATACTCACCTGGAACCCAGCTGAATCTCTCGTTTGTGGTGTTCTCAGGCAACTGAGTGTGCTGCACCAGGCCGCCTCATGCTTCAGCCCAAGATAGATCCCCAGTCAGCGTGATGCCAAACACACCCATAAACAGGGGCCAAATAAAGCTAGGAGCTACTGTCGAAAGACCAGGGAGCGATCATCATTTTCCTACTGTACTGGAAATGTTCACATCACGATTCGCATAGATGAACAAACGCCGAACAGAGTCATGTGAACAGTATTTTTAAAAATAAAAAACAGATGGTTGAACTATCTGGGAGACAGTAATTTGAAGTTCGGGTCGGTCCACCGAGCACTTGAGCAGTAAACAGTATTGCAAGTTACTGGACCGCAAAATGCAAATAACTTCACTTTCATACGGTGGCTGAATTTTGACCTTGAATCGCACCCAAATCCGTAATTGTCACGTGACAGTGCATGAATTTCACTGCTAACGAATGGTGAATAGTCTGTTTTGAAATTAAAGCGCGACTGATACCAGGTATCGTAGTTCCTTTAGATGGTGAAATCATAATTTCTGTGGGTTACAAAACCAGAGCGACTACGCTGGACCCGTTCAACTCGAGGCAAGAAGAAAACAGGATATTTTATCAAAAGTTTTGGAAGGGTTTCACTTGGTTTCCGACAGTACTTAATGATAATGATAATAGCAACGAGTCAGTCGCAGTAATGATCACAAAAATAGTGTTAATAATGATGGCACCCAAAAATCAATAAAACTGCTAAAAAGTGTTAACAACACGGTAAAAAAATTGTTCAGCTGGAGCACTCTTCCGGCGCCTAGCTGCCATGCCACACGAAGGAGGCATGAGGGATGATATACTGCCGGGTTGCCCAAACTTAAACAGGGGAAGTCGAGAGGCAGAGGTCGGATTCGGCCCACGGACCTTCCGATCAGTAAATTCGCATTCTAATCGCTGAACCATCTCGCCCTCAACAGCACATGGTGTCAGATCACAGAAGAATATCTGAGGAAACCTCAATCCCACTGGATAAAGCAGATGCATATATAAAAAGGTGATAACGAATGAAATTTTTCACTGGTTTCAAACTTTGTGCTAATTTGTACTAGCTAATGTAAACTTACTTCATTTTCTTCAGAAAAGTCAGCACGAATCCGCACGGACGACATACTCACAGTTTTGTCAGATTGTACAATGTTACTTGGGCAATATGGAATGTAAAATGACGTGCCCATCGTTATCATCTTCTCGTGATAGCGTAACGACATCATTTAAGTCGACAGTTCCTAACTTACAAGAATATGGGCTTTTCAGGTGAGAAGCAGAAGCCTTGTTCAAGTCAGTGCAATATTGTATGTAAGCGAGTTGCCCCCTGAGTTCCGGTGTGAGTAGGAATTTCTGTTCTTTGTGACACCATATTCTGGGAATCTTCAACGTTTTGGTGCACTGTTTCGATAAATTCAGACTACCGGGAAAGCCATATGAAATCGCCATCTGTTCTACAGCAATCCCCCAAAAACACCCTACAGCTCCTCAAACCCAGAGGTGCGACGCCTAGGCTGAAGTCGTTTGTTGTTCAGTGCAGAGTACAATTCACCGGACCTATTACACACCCAAAGTCAATGCATTACATAGTGGTCTGAGTGAATGGCTCTCCTCTCATATAGTTGCTTTCTCCATTGGGGAACAGACCTACCCTCATTAACAAACGATTTAAATTCTTTTGGCTCCATCAGAGAGGTACGAACAGACGTCTTTAAAAAGCCTGTGTTACTGAGTTACAGTTTTTCAAGTGTACATTGTTTCTAGGGTTAGCATAGACTTATATCTTTCCCCCAATGACTTATCGATTTCCAGAGTTCTGACTTCACCTTTGAATCACACGCTTATTCTTCGTGGACATTTACTGCTTCCACGTTTCACCTGTCTTTTCAGTAGGCGAGATGGAGATTTTCTCACTTGATTGCTTCTCTCACGTGACACAAAGCTTCCAACATCCTGCGCTTTACTACACCAGTTGGTCATGTGACTGGGGCCTGCGGCGACCAACCACTCACCTGCAAATGATGCTATCATTAACACAAGCAGTTTAATCGCCTAACGCACCATGACTGACCCCGACAGCTGACATTTTCTAAATTTTCCGACACATTAGGCTCAGTGCGAGGGCCTGTACGAACACAGTAAATGGAAAAGGCGGTGTCTTCCCAGTGAATCGTCCCACCAGCTACACTCACCTATAAGATGATGTTTCTGTATGATTTCTTCTCAGGAACCATCGGCTCTATGCTGTGTGAATCTAAACTCCAATTGCTGAGTTCTTATTAAACCCCATTCGCGGTAAATCGGTACAGTTCATCCAATGCTTCTGTTCAAAAGCCATGGACTACCTGATAACCTACTTGGATCAATCAATTTGTTTATCAATCGGCAAGAGATTCACTTGATTGCCCCTTACTTCTCTTGGCATTTTCAATATTGCCACCTTCCCTGTATGACTTTCCCCCCTTTCAGAAAATATATGTGTAAACAATGGCACTATATCTTCCACACGCTGAAGTGTACCACTTAGTTACTCTGACCAGCGCATACTGCTTCTCTCTAGCAAGGTATATTCTAAATATAACCACAAATAAAGCTTCTCGTTTGCCCAAACAGAGGAGGTGTCCATGAATGAACGCCAACGAACCAGGTCACTGACTTGTCCATATTTTTCGTCTATTTGACTGTCCTACGCATTATGACCATCAGAGTGACCATCTTCGTTTTGTTTCGTCCTTGGCGGCCAAAAAAAAACGGTCAGCTCCACGCGACACCGGTTTGCTCCAAAGATTAACATTATCTCCTCCACATCAGCTGCACGTCGGTTCCCCAACATTGTGCTCACTATCTCGACGGCCTTTGATTAGTTCTACCGGGTGCAGCCCAGAAATTCACATAAACTTGCAAGTGGGCCTAGAAAATGTCTGAAATGGCCTCAGCCTCATTGTTCATCCAATATTGTCCTCATATGGTGCTATGTTACTATTTTCTCAATGATTACAAAAGGATGCCATGAGCGCAAGTTCTGCAGCTATTTAACCACCAGTACCACCGAAGCCCCCTTCACAACAATAAGCAGTGTGTTTGATATAAGCCTTCTCAGGTATCAGGAGTCTTCACCAAAGCCTGATTACTAGCTTTTTACTCACGCACCTGATGTGGTGTTTCCCTGCTGCACTGCCCGGACTGAGTTTTGCCTTAACACAGGGTCGCTGAAGTGGTGGGATTTCAGGGACAGTTCCAGTCAGCAAATCCAGTGGCGCCTGCTGAAATTTGTGGACAGATTTCTTTTGGATACTTAACGACCAGTTCAGCCTTTATGTCTGATCCAACTGTTATTTCCAGCACACAATCCTATCGTTCTTTATGCAGTTCAGTATCCCGTTAATACTGCCGCTGTCTTCTTAGCTGATTAATATCCACAGTTCCCAAATTGTCATCTCAATTTATCTGTTGAAAGTTCCAAATATGATTATATGACACGGCGGTAATTTTCTTCGCTGAAAGCTTTCCTTGACTCAAATTGATCAGATCTGACTTGACTTGGCCTGACTTGACTTGACTTGACTTGACTTGACTTGACTTGACTTGACTTGACATACAATGTGTAGTGAGACGAGGTGCAGTCACTTGTGAGTCAGAAAAAACTAATTTCAACCAAGGGGATGGGTGTGCTTCGTTGGATTCGTCCCAGAAACTGTTTCAGTTTTTCGGACAGGAAGATATGGTCTCGGATGTATGATGTGGTGAAGCAATATTATCCGAACAAGCTCAGGTAAGAAAGTATGCTCGAATTACTCTAAGTGCAGCAACAGTTTTAACCTTTGAGTCTTCAGTCAACTGCATATTGTTGTGGAGCACAATTTTCCTAATGCCTTGTAGATACCGTGAACTCAAGTCTGGGTAACTGCTTGATAGCCTGATACGCTTAGTCAAATGAGAAACCCAATCAACGTGCGAATCAGTTGATCTATTGAACACTGCCGGGCACAGGCGTATCATGTGCAGTCGAAAACCGGCCGCTTATGAAGCTCACTTGGAAAGTTCTAGGTGGGTCAAAAGGGTCACTGAAAATAGAACTCAGCTGTCAAGGACAAGTGAAGAGTAACCAATTAAATTCGTCCCAGGGAAAACGGTTATTCCACTGGCAGTTGTGCAGTCCAGGTACGTTCTGAGCTGGTTGTCCTAATACATATCCACTGTGGATAACGTACCAACATTCAGTTATCCAATCAGCTCCCGTAGTGAAAACCGACTCAAGTGGTGGAATCCCAGAGTCTGTTGTTGACCGCTGGAATGTACGCGAACGTTTTAGATATAGATGGCCAAGTGAGTCAGCTGCTTCTTGAGGGAGATCTGCATACTTCTGCACGTTGCTATGGATCATGGTCTAAGATCTCCCGCATACCAAAGACAAAGGACATCTGCGTGTTGGCGGACCCCCTTCTTCTACTTTGCCTGTTCAATCAAATCGAAGAGAACAAGTGCTTGTCTCACAAACTCCCTGTGACTTATACAAAACAGGTAGGGCCAAGAGATGGCAGAATGAACGTCCACCATAGGGAAGAAGCTCAGTGAGCGTCATGCCACAGTCCGTAGAGATGGTATGGGCATGATGATAATGTAACAAACCAGTGGAGAATTAGAGAGGATTGGAGTAGCAGCGCCCTGATTTCGCAATACTATCCTTCTTCGTGACGGGCGGGCTGTCGCCCGTAAACCTAACGTATTCAACCTACCTAACTCGGAACTGACAGCGTCTCTTTGGTGGATAAAGCAACTTTTGCAATCCAACTGTCGGGCACGGTGCATTAAACAGTATCCAACAACAGTTGGTAAAAAGCAGAAGGAGAAATCCCCTCATCACGTGCTTTTTTCATGCTCCGATTGACAAACTCTTATCCTGATACCACGTTTCTTCGAGACATCCGTCTAGCTTGATTCTGATTGTATGGTCACAATTTTTGTCACATATTGAATGGAGAATTCAACAGCTTTTCGTCACCAATTTTCTGTGAATCGGTAAATTTGTGTCTGTGTCCGGTTATCCAACCGAAGAGGAAAGAACATTTGGGTGTGACAGTGATTCACTTATAACATCCACATGTTCTTTCAGGAAGAGAAGGTGAGTGTCACGGGGAACAGCTAACACTGGGACGTTTAACACTGGTAATCTGTTTTTCACATTCAAACCGATATGCAGTCATTTCAGGCAAACGAACCATCGATTCATGTCCTCTGGAGTTTTTCAAAACAAGGTCAAAACATATTGTGTAATTTGGTAGCCTACACGGAAGAGCGCATAAAACCTCAAGGAATGAAATTGTCAAAAATGAGTCATACATTCTCATAGGTGCTCTGCCTAAGATGAAAAACTGAAGCATGAAAGTCTTCGTTATAAGCACACAGTGTTCCAGAAACCTCATCTGCAATCGGGAGTGAACGTCTAAGAGAAAATGTGGTGACTGAAGACAGTGAAAACCCAGTAGATATCTGATCCGTATCAACTTTGCCCATTTTTATAACTTACGCTTACTCAGTATCGGAGACGACAGAGGTGTGGAGCATTGTATAGATCGTGGAGGTACATATATGCGAGCTAAAGTTGCGTCAATGATAGCTGTTCTGGCAGGTTGCCAGAATTGTGAAGTTCTTTTTTGCTCCCAGGTTTCGATATCCGTCTCAGAGTTCCGTGTGATCGAGCGGAACTAATCCAGTATTCATGTTAGGTGACGGTATGAGTGCTCGGCTCAAGGATGTAATAAACATCAAATTCTGAATAGTCATTATCAGCACGACAGATGAGAAAATGAATCTTATATAAGTGGAACAAACGGTTACAACGGCACTTTCTCTGCTTAGTTCTCGGTCTGAACCTTCCAAAACAGCGTTCGCGTCAAAACAACCACCAAAGGTACACAAAGGGTATTAGCGATCAAAATCAGGTCAAAACGCGTGTACGGCGCGCCGTATATAAACGTATGTGACGGCAACATTCTGGAAATTCTGACGTCTTCTGGATGCGTTATTGGTAACCATTAGTCGGCGGATACTGGATCATGATTTGCTTTTGGGCCCATAGATTCAGCCAATCAGAGTTCGCCTCGTTACTGGACCGGCAAATGGC